TTCCATTTTCTTTAAATAGTTGCACTTGTAATTTGCATGTTGGCCTGTTCCTTTTGCTGTTCTTTTTTGCAATTGATGTTTAGTCCTTTCTTGTCGTTTTTCCTTCTCTGTGTCATCTGAATAGCTTATGTTGTTAAGATTGTGGCCGCCAATAATGAATTCTGGTAGAACTTCTACTTCTATTAGAATCACTTCACTGTATAGGTTGAATAAGTCCGGTGAGAAGACACATCCTTGTCTTATACCCCTTTCCATTTTTGTATATCTACTGAATTCTTTTTCTGTCCGTATGCAGGCGGTTTTGCTGCCAGTATAAGTTCTGAATTATTCTAATATTTTTCTCAGATTTGTTAAGGTTACCTCACAGTTCCAACAATTCTTCATGGCCTACTTTATCAAATGTTTTTTGTATAATCTATAAAGCACAGGTACACATCTTTCTGCATTTGTATTGCTCTGTTCTTTCCCTATTTCCGGTTTAATTCTGATACGCGCTCTATTCATCAGAATTCGGATAATACGTTTTATTATATGATTCGTTCGGCTCGTTATCCGATAGAGTTCACAATCATTTGAACCTGGCTTCTTAAGCAGATGGATTCTACTGATCATCCGGTTTATCACCACTTTTGTATATTTCGTTTATTATTCTTGTAATCTTTTTAATGGCATAAGTAATCTAAGGCTGCTAGTATCTCAATTACAATTCCGTCTGGCCCTAATGCTTTGTTTCTGTTCAGTTTGACCAGTGCGTTTTTCCGCCGGTATAGCGTTTCACATTTTTCCCAAATATGTAAAAATTACCTCGCAGTTGTCACGCTTCTTTGGGACGTACTTAATTAGACGCTCTTGCATAATCAATAAAACACAGTTACACATCCTTCTGCATTTGTATTGATGTTTTTAATATCATTCTAATCGCCGTAAACATTTTTGCTGTAGGAAAACTCGCCTCAGGAATTCTTGCTGTAGAAATCTTTGCCGTGTAGGATTTTTGCCGTAAGACAATTTCTCCGCATTTTTTTAAATATACAAAGTATCTTTTTATTAAGTATATCCGGCTACCACTATTGTTACTTCGATTAAAACATTTTAATAAGTGAAGTTATAAGATCAAAATCCTACATCATTCAACCTCGTCAGTGAGGAGCGCAAAAAATTCAACTTGACACTAGAACCTACGTCACGCAATTTCAGATTTCAGATTTAACGTTAAACTTTCTGTTAACATAATATCAGTCTTCCAATAATTCTCATTCAAGCAATATATATTATTCAAACAAACTTACAACTTGAATACGCAACCAACTTTATTAAATGTTTACTTTTTAATTTCTTTTCTAATGTTTGCCCCTGTAAAAAAAAGACATCCATATATACTTGATAAGAAGGCACTTCGCATATGAAACATTGGACATTACTCCAAAATGGACATTCAAGATAAGAGTATCGAAAAAAATTGTCTTACGGCAAAAATCTTACGGCGAGGTTCATATGGCGAAAATTCTCGAGGCGAATTTTCCTACGGCAAAAATGTTTACAGTGAATGTCCTGGATACGATTGTAGATAACGGGAAACTTGTGAACGGACCCAAGGTACGTTCTTCTAATTCCGCATCACGATTGTGTTTGAGAGACACATCTTGGTTGTTATCATATAAATTTCAGTTATTTTCTTTGAATGAAATTCATTTCATGTATGTTGCTATATTTTTTCGTCTTTTGGGATTGTAATTAGTGAACACACACACACACACACATATATATATATATATATATATATATATATATATATATATATATATATATATATCATTCGTATTTTGTTGGCGGAACTGATTGCCAAGTTTGGGGTACATTGACTTTTTCTTCTGTGCGAAATAGGTCCTACATTGAATCTGAAAAGACGTCCGCAGCATGGTAAGGTAGGAGAAAGGGAATGGAGAGCTCTGGCTATTCTTTGGGCTCTCTTCGTCTCTTCTATTTGCCTTCCGGTGTTTTCGGAAGATTTGTTTTTCATGGATTTGAGAAGGGGACTTGAGAAGAAGAAATTGAGTACAAAACCTTTGTCTGCGAATTGTTTGATGTGCTCCATGGGTCGCCACTCCATGGCACATACACACTGCAGGTTCATGATGACAGCTTGAATCGTGTTACCGATTTGTTCCCGTACGTAGAAGGTCGCCTGGGCGTCGAATCGTACTTAGTCTTGTCCTTTCCCTTACATGGGCGACCAAACAAGGAGACGGAGCTACCGACGGCATTGCATTCAGTTTCCTCGAGATGCGTAAGCTCCTCCACCACGACACGTTGACGATACACAGTATATATATATATATATATATATATATATATATATATATATATATATATATATATATATTGTATTTTTTGTGGGTTGGGTAAGGGAAGGGGTCACAAACTGAAAAGTTGTACCAGGTGGTGCACATTCCGGCCGGCACACACTCTAGTTACGCCACTGGGTCAAGGATAAAAAAGTAATTAATCACCGCGAACACTGTCACGTTGGTATTTCTCCGTCCTACGTCTTTATTGCAATGAAGTTTTGGAATCTCCGGAACCAAGCATCCCTCAAATCTTTTTCCGTGTCTCATCCGGTGACGGAAACACATATCAGCAAATAAATTCTGTTAGAACAAATAAAATCATTATGGTGAAGGTGAATATTTTTGTATCAAATTTAAAAGCTTTCCACCCTGACTGGTAACATAAAATCATTCACTAGTGAATGTCAAAGCCAAGACAAATGCATTCATTGATGTGGGGTGTTATAGAACTTACACGGCGAGATATCCCCTCTTAAATTTCTTTAAACTTACTGCCTCCTTAACTGCCCTCATCTTGGAATTAATCCTTTCTAGACTTCCTTGACTAGAGAGTTCTAAAAAAAAAATGAAAAGTGTCACTATGCACAAGCAGTCCAGGCGAAGACTGAAAGAAAACAACTTGGGTCCCGTGAGTTCTGGAAGATCCCCAACCAAACATTCATTAGAAGCAAAGCGTCAGTGCCTATTATTATCGTCAGATAAGGCGAAACTCTTCACCACGATCATTGCCTCTAACTGAACGTTAGATGACAAAGAGCATCCCCTTCCAGAACTACCGCGTCTCACTGAGCACAATCTTAATATATTTTTTACAGTCCGAGAAGTCTCAATTCTTATCAAAAGTCTTAACCAAAAGAAGCTTCTGTTTCAGATAAAATGCCAGTGGTTTTCCTTAACAATATTAACTCGGCGTTGTCCTCGATATTAGCGTAATTATTTCACCGCTGCTTGAAAGAGAAATCCTTCTGAATCTGTGGAAAGGGTCAAGTGTATATTCTGTTTTCAATGATACAGTACCTGGAAGTCAGCCAAGTATTTCTGGTATTACACTTTAAGCTAAAAGTTTGAGGCCACATTTTTAATTTCAAAGAATTACCTCGAAATCGCTGCGTGCCATTTGTAAAACATTTAACCCCAAACTATATTCAGTATAGACCGTGCTTTCCTGATTTGCCGTTAAGAATCATGTGAATGGCTAAGGGCGGTGCATACTAATTGAAAAGGAAGAAAAATTAACCCAACTTTACCAGTGTCAGAAACCGGAACCCCTGGGTGATTATAATTTGAACGTGAGGCTGACACCTGTCCGGAATTCATATATTCATGGAAAACACTCAATAAACAGACAAAAAATGATTAATTTATCGCTACTCCATCTTTCTGGCCCCTATGGCCAAACAGTGATGAAAACTGTTCGCACCACATATCATTGGTGCCACAGCTACACAACCGCTTTACTTGTAATATTACACATAAATCGTCTGGCTAAATCATGTTCTGCAATTGAAGTAAAATAAAACCATTCAATATATTACTTATTTTTGCCTTTGTTTAATATACGTCCGACTATAAATATGATAGTTGGATAGGTAAAAACCTCAATGTAGTATACTGAACCACAGGTGACCAGATTCTGCTGACAAAACATTTGGCGCCAAAAAAAACAACAAAAAATTTTTTGCTAAAATAACATTTTAAAAAATTGTATTTTCTATGGTTAACATAGGTACTCTGGCTCGTCTAATAACTATTTGTATCAGTATGCATAGTTTTATATACAAAACTTTCGTCCATTACAAGGCTGGAGAGCCACACAAGATAGAGGGTACAGTCAACAAAATGCTTATCCTGAATGAGATATGTGATATGTATGGAATCGAGGGTGGTAAGAAGTGGAGATTGTGATGATAGGGAGGCTAGACAACAACTGACTATTGACATGATGAGGTTAAGTTAGTGAGTTTTCAGAGAAACACTCACACCGGAGTCTGTCCCACAACGTGAGAGTTCTTAAGAAGATGCCTGAGTGGAACTTCCTCCTTACAAATGGAATACGGTGGAAATGAATATTATTCGATTCCGTGGAAGTAGTAAGGCGAGTTCTAAAAGTAAAGGTTTGAACAAGTAGAATTAAAGGGTATTATATATTCTACAAGTAACTAATTGTTTTTCTTTTTTTTTCTTTTTTTTTCTTTTTTTTTTTTCAAATAAAAGCCAGTTCGACGCTTGCAACTATGCTCGATTCTAAAATGAGTAAATTGAAACGAACAAAATGAGTACGGTGAGGGGTCCTCGACTTACGATAGAGTTCCGTTCCTACGATGCGTCGTCATGAGATTTTCGGCATAAGTCGAAACGTACCTGTGATTTTCCGGGAATAAGCACTTATGTCAATCAACTATAAGACCTCCCCGACTTACGGTGATTCTTAAACCGGGACGGTCTTTAACTGGAGACTTAATGTAGTTAAAGAAAACCTTGGCCAAATAAACTTTAAATCGGACCTGTTTTTTGCGAATTTTTCATTATGCACATCTAATTTTCAGAGTGCATATGGATGAAGGTTGTTGATAAAAGACCGAATACCATTCTCTCGCCCCTATTGTTTTTAATGTTTTATGCTCGTTGAACGGAAGCAGACGAGGCAGACGCATGTCCAAAATAGAAAGCTTTCAGGAAATGGGGAGTCCTGGGTGCATCATCAGTGCTGGACACTTTACTTCGCATCCTTCGTCGTTGTCTTCCTCGATTTCCTAACCGGCTGCCTTCTCTTCTTATGCAACATTAGAGGACATGTACAGATATCAATTTACGATTATTTTTTATTTTAATTTTTTTTTTTCTTTTTTTTTTCTTTTTCAGATTTCCGTCTACATTTTCCTCTTATTCTTTCTCTTTCACAACAATCAATTTTATAAATAGTCGTTTTTCTTATACTTTACTATTATGTTTTACCATACCTATCTATCTCAGCTCGTTCATTCCTTCGTTCATTCCTTCGTTCCTATCTATCTATCTATCTAAATCCTTTTCTTTCTTTCTTTCTTCCTTTCTTTCTTTCTTTCTTTCTTTCTTTCTTGGTACATCTATCGCTCACTCTATCTATCTATCTATCTATCTATCTATCTATCTATCTATCTTAATTCGTTTCTTTTTTCTTTCCCACTGCCTCTCTCTCAATCTATCTATCTATCTATCTATCTATCTATCTATCTATCTATCTATCTATCTATCTCAGTGCGTCTATCTCTCACTCTATCTCCTTATCTATTTAGCTAGCTAACTGAATCCGTTTCTCTCGTTCTTTCGTTCTATCTATCTATCTATCTATCTATCTATCTATCTAAATCCTTTTCTTTCTTTCTTTCTCAGTACGTCTATCGCTCACTCTATCTCCTCATCTATCTATCTATCTATCTATCTATCTATCTATCTATCTATCTATCTATCTATCTATCTTAATCCGTTTCTTATTTTCTTTCTCAGTGCGTCTCTCACAATCTATCTATCTATCTATCTATCTATATATATATATATATATATATATATATATATGTGTGTGTGTGTGTGTGTGTGTGTGTGTGCGCGCGTGTGTGTGTGTGTCTGTATGTGTGCCTGCTTGGGTGTGTATGATTTGTGCGTCTATATATCTATATTTTAATTAATACTAACCTAATAATGAAAAACCATTTATTTTATAGAATAAATATTTATTTTTCACTATAATGTCTTTTTATGCCACTGCACTTAATTAATTTATACGGGAAGAAAATTGAATTAAAATTCAACAAATAATCACGTGTTAGGCTAAGCACTTATTGATTTACTTTCGCATCTATCTACCTGTCTTTGGACCTAGCCTATTCGTATCTTACCGTCTCTCCGTCTCTCTGTCTCTTCCTCTCTCTCTCACTCTCTCTCTCTCCCTCCCTCCCCCTCTCTCTCTCTTTGTATCTCTCTCAAGCGAGCTAATTCAAACTTCTAATATAGATCTTTCTGTTTGTGCTACCTGCTGTCGTGGTTAACGAGTTAGGTTCGGTAGTCATTATTGTAGAGTTTAAGTGCTCCATAACGGTATGCTTGTTTTAGACTAAGCTCAATTTAGTAAATAGTTGTCTCATCTTATATATATATATATATATATATATATATATATATATATATATATATATATATAATTATTTATTCTCGAAAATTATAACATAAATATAAAAAATATAAAATTAGAAAAATACTACAAAAATGCCATTTTGTTTCAACACTTCTAGTGTCTTATCAAGTGATGGCTTTGAATCTGTATATATATATATATATATATATATATATATATATATATATGATGGTGTTGCATGTGCATATATATATATATATATATATATATATATATATTAAACACAACAAAATCCAAAATTACCTAACAGATCTATTTCAACCAACGAGAACTACGTTAGTCTTATTCAACCCCGGTGTATATACTGTGTTCGTATCGGGATTAGAAATTTAAAATTTAACTGTGACAGCAGGCGAAAACTATCTATTTTAAATTTTAATTTTAAATTTCTAATTCCGACACGATCAGACTGTAAACCCGGGTTGAATAAGACTAACGTTGTTTGAAATAGATCTATACACCCCCACCATATGAGGTAATTTTGAATTTTGTTGTGTAATTTATATGCTCTGTTATAATAAATACATTGAGCTCTTTTTGTGGATCAGTTTTAATATTTGGCATTACTAGGATCCATTTGGATTATATACTAACGGATTTATTATCTGTACTATATATATATATATATATATATATATATATATATATATATCCTTCCTCTTAATTCCGCTATACTTCTCGATTCCCAATAACTGCTTACACTGGAAAAGCGTGTAAGGAAAACGCGTTGTTTACGTACCACTCACTAAAAACTACCCCACTGCCTTTGCTCCAACCCCACCTTTTTCATTCGGTAGAGCTTTAGGGTCTGACACTACTACTGTCGTTATGTAAACTGGCATGACATATTCAGGTTATAAACTGGACGATTAGTCGAGGTAAAAGAAAGCAGGCGCACCTTAAGCAACTCTTTCATCTTATTAGAATGTTAGTGCTGTCGTAAGACCATGAAAGGTTTGGTATCTGTTAACAAAAAGTGCTGATTTAAACAGATGGGGAGAGAGAGAGATCCTAGCAGAAATATCTGGTAGGATCCGCGCTCACGCACACAGATGTAAACACGTGTGAACACGTACATGCAAACTAGGTTCTGGATCTCCCCCCGCCCCTGTTGATAGTCTTATTTTCTTTCTTTTAATGTCAAGCCCCTTCCGATCATGGCTTTCCACATGTCCCTTTAATGTGTGGGAATTATTATACATTATTGGAAAAAGTTACTGCAATGGTCTCTCGTTACCAAATCCACGATATGGAATTCAGAGTGCTCCTTTTTATAGATTGGTTGCCAACCAAGGCTAGAGAATCCGGTCTACTTAGCTTCTTAACATATAGAAGAGATGAATTTATACATTTTCCAATGATATTTAAACGAAAGTGAACGCAACAGACTAGGCCGGGTTTTGAACTCGGCTCGCTGAATCCATTCTCCGCGCCCGTCGCCGTTATGCCACATGCACATCCCTTTTAATTTTTTTAATTATTTTTCTACCTTCATTATCATCTTCAGCCTCCGCGCTAACGATACTCTGTTTATTTGCCCTTTTCTTCTTCTTCTTCTTCTTCTTCTTATTATTATTATTATTATTATTATCATTGTTGTTGTTGTTGCTGTTGTCTTCTTACTCTTTCTTCTTTTGCTTCTACCCTCCTCCTTCACTATCTTTTTCCCTTACTTTCCCTCCTTTCACCCCAGGCCGAAACTCGTTCAGATAGCACTGTCCTGAATGATGCTTTGCCGATGAAGATGATAATGGCGACGCTGTCGATGATGACAAAGATAATGATGCCATAGCAGCTGATATTGTTGTTGACGGTGGTCGTTATAATATTACTGTACTTGTTAATGGTGATGATGATGATGGGTGGGGTTAATGATAATGACATTGACTATGATGATGCTAAGAAGCACTGGTAATCATCATGGCAATAGTGATGGTGATGTCGTGTCATTGAAGGTAGCGGTGGCGGTAGTTTAGGTTGACGGATCAGCAGCAGTAGGGGTTGGGGCAGCCGCCATCACCACCAACACCATCACCAGGATCCCGGCAGCAGCAGCAGTCTGAGTTGTAGATGTCTTGCCATACGGGCACAGGCTCCCCGCCCGTTCTCCGCGCACACCTGTGATTGGCAGGTGACAGTCTCCGCCTGTTTTTTAAATCTATTGTTAGTCGGGGGGCAAAAAAGAGGAAACTGTAGGCTTTTTTCAACTAATGACCAGTTAGTTATTTGGTTTGTCATTGGTAGACTACATGTTGAAACGTCATAACAGGCGCCAGTAGTTGGGAGAAAATAAGGTTAAATTGACTCTAAGTTGAGGAACGACTGTTCTGTTTTCATTGTTAAGGGGATACACTGTGATTTCCCGCGTTTTTTCACCATTAGACTTTTCGACGGCACTCTCTCTTCGCGGCCTGCTGAACTGTCTTACTAAAGTGGATGTAGCCGAACATGGGAGACAGAGGAACTTTATTACCAGCACTGTTTACCATGCTACTAGCACTGGTAGTGGGCTCGAAGGAAAACAGACCCAACAGGACCGTCCAACTGACCAGTGACACACGTACTCATAGTGAATACAGAAGTGCTAAAGTGGTCGACCTACCTGAGGTGGCCACCACGTTAGATCCCAGACATGTACCGAGTTTTATGCACGCTGTTGACCAATTTTCTAGCTTGCAAAATTATTACAACACCAGTCAAGGCATTAGCACGACCACGAGGAGTTCACCTTACGGAGGTAAGTCGAAGACATCACCAAGCATTACACTTTCAATTGACACGAGTAGAAAGGTTACTACTACTACTACTACTAACAAGCCTCCCTCCTCCTTTTACTATATGTGGGTAGATCTAAACCCTTTCATACAGTGAGGGCCGCTCCCTTTCAGAACGGGCCAGATCATGTGTGTAGATCTTTACCGTTCTATACATTCAAGACTGCTCCCTGTTATACATTAATGGAAGGTAGTAGGATGAATAATCAAAAATTGGGAATTTTCTTCTTCATTTTTTTTAAATTTTTCGTTGTTATTATTTCTTTTAATATATTTTGTAAAATATTAATGATACTGTTTTATAGTTAATATCAGTAGTTTTTGTTATTAATAAGATCATAATCAAAGTAATTTCTCGCGATTTGTCATATTGTATTTATATATCTTATTTAGGGTTTTATATCTTATTCACTGACAACTGACATGATTTGAAAACTGAAACTGAATCATAATGTCTTGGGAGATGAGCTAAACATATTGAAAGTGACTTTGTTTTTTGGTTTTTTTTTTTTTTTTCTGAATTGTCATTGCTTGAAATGACAACATTTTGATTTTTGAGTTTGCTCATCATCTCTCGATGACATGACATGAATAAGATAGAGAACATTCCATTGGCCCCCACTTACCCGCTGGTTATCTTGTCACGTGTGTGAATACATGAGGGAATCAGCCATGCCCTAGCACCTGAAGAAGAGTGGAGATTTTACCGATCGAAACCTTTTCAGCGTATTGGGTTTAAATGTCGATTGTTATGATAATTAATTTCAAGAAATTATACAAAATTTAAATTCAGTCACGTCATTAGACGGTTTTGATTGTTAAAAGAAAACATTAGCTTATATTAAAGACGGGTTTATTTTAAAAGGACAAAGTTTTTTTCAGCAATACATTAAATAGAAAGTAATTGAAAATCAATTGTAGGGACAAACAGAAACACAATTTATATATACAGTATACGGTAAAAATGGAAACTTTTCCTTCAGTGTGTCTTTAAATGCTCAGTTTTTATTATTCGTTTTCTCGTTGATGACATTTTCCTTTACTTTTATTACGAAAAAAAAAGATTGATTCCACGTGACGGAATTAAGTGCAACTCTAACGAGAATAAGAGAAAGAGTGACAGATATCCTTGTCGTAATAATAAACAAATAAAACTTTTAAAAAAACAAAAAACAAATCAAAACTGATAATGTTTTTTTATAAGGTCTTTACACTCTTGTTCTATAATACAAATGAACGTTCAACGAGAAACGATTAGCTCAAGCCACGCGCACACTGTTCCCAAAATTCCCAACTTCGGATCAGCCATCAGCGAGTTTCAAATACAAAGCAAGATAAAGAGAAAGACACTATAGAAAAAGAAAATAAAATATATAAAATTGCCAATGTATTCAAATAAAGCTGTTTTAATGTATTATCATTTACCCCGCCAATGATTATTAGAAATTGTTATTGCACTACATGTAGACATAAGTAAGGAAGCATGCATATATATATATATATATATATATATATAT